TTGATGCCCCAGTAGCAATCAGCCGCGCCGCGTCAATGACCGCAATGTCCCGCCCGCTCTATCTCTGGGAACCGACGATATTTGCGTCACTCTGTACATTTACATCCGTTTTCTCCCGGAAGAAAATCATTTGACTTTAAAACATCAAGCGTTTGACAAGTATGGAAGAACATCTAAGATTAACATTTAAAACTGCACTATGCAGTTTTAAGCAATTTTCAGCAGTTCATAAGGTCGCCAATAGAAAGATCTGATAGGTGCTTTGTTGCATAGCTTACTGTACTCGTTTTTCGAAGCCGAAAGTAGATGACTCATATGCGTTGCAAAAAAGCAAACTGAGGCAATTCCCAACAAGTTCTACACAAAAAGACTGAATACACACCAAAATTTATAGTCCTGTGCCTCAAAACAAATCAAAGATACTGCTTCATTTACAATTACACATTCACAAGAAATATAAAATCTATACAAATAAACATCAAAAGAGTTGCAGCAGAAACACACAAGACAAGCAAACAAGAACTAGAACTGATCAGAACGCGTGAATGAGAGGACGAATCTAAAGGAAGTCAATACTTGTAGAGACTAAATTATCATTAGAGAGAGAAAACTGATACGGTAACGTACGTAAGTTGCGATCTTTAGCAAGAGAAATATAGAAAATGAAGAAAAAGAAGAGAGCGGCAAATAAAGATGTGTTAGAAACCACAAAAATCATCACAGTCTTGATCCAATTGAGGATTGATGTTCATTTGAGACGGAGAACACAAGGAAAAGAATAAAATTAGGTGCGCTCCAGCGCCTGAAATCCTCGAGGATCATAATGATTTACGTGATGTCTCAGAAGTGGGGAAAATTGGCAAGACCATTGGGCCGATTCATTAACAGCATTGTCCCACATCTCAGGCACCACCACATTGCAAAGGTGATCAGAAAATCTTGTAAAATAACATCACCAATAATGATACGATAATAGAACAATGCTTCAAAATTATACGACCGGGAGAATGACTAAACTGTGAATTCGTAGTTCACGTACATCAAGCCATGATCTAATCGCTTGAAAGTAGACTTCATTGAAAACTAACTCATCATTCAAAAGCCCATTTCGTGAATGAGCAACTGAGGAATTTTGGCTGGATACCCAAGAACGAAGAAAGACAAACAATTTATGCACCTTTATCGAACGGCTCTGGACTAGCAGGAGGAGCCCGACCTTGGCGATTGGAGGGACCTGCGGCGTTCGGATCTGCTCCTTCTTCATCCGATGAAGACTCCATCTGAATCACTTCTAGCGGTCGCTGCTCTTCTCTGCCATTGACTAACGGAGCACCATCCTCACGC